AAAAAAAAAAAAAGAGGAAGCGGGCCTGAAAAAAAAAGGTCCTTTCCTGGGGTTGAGGAACGAAAGAATGTTAACCTTCCTGGGCCGAGGTCCCACTGGCACTAGCAAAGAGGATAGGATCAAGCTCCTGAATGTAGATGTGTTTAATACAGAGGTGCAGAAAAGCAGTTCAATCTCGATTTCGTGCACCTGTCCACAATTACGTCCACATTCAGGCATTCGATCCAATGCTCTTTGTTAGTGGGACCACGCTCCTAGGATTGTGGAAAGAAGAACGAATGTTAACCGAGTGTTTTGAATCTCTACTATTGTATCGCTCAAAGTGTGTGTTACCTGTGGAGTGCTATGGTTTTTTTTGGTTTTTTTTTTTTTTTTTTTTTTTAAGGCTAATTCTTTAAGCCCAACCAGTTCAATATCCTGTCAAATCTGGACAGGACGGCCTTGCTATGTTGTTTGATGTACTCGTGGAGTACGATCAGCTTGGATGCTTAACATTGTACATAGACCAACCCAGGAAGCGCGGCTGAAAATTGGTTGTTTCCTTGTTTGTACAAAAAAAAAAAAAAAACCAAAAAAAAAAAAAAAGGATCAAGAAAGAAAAATGTATAAATCCTATACATACAAAAAAAAAACAAAAAAACAAAGAACACTACCAAGATGGTAAGATCTTTTTTTTTTTTTTTTTAACGGCTAATTCTTTTAAGCCGCCAACCAATTCAATGACCAATCGAATCTGGACAGGACGGGGAACACCCCTTTGAGCGTAAATAAGGAGAGAGTAAGTAGTTTGTAGAAGCGTGGGTTTGTTGAGATTCGAGTTGGTAACCTGCCCTAACTACCAGGCCCGTAAGCTGTTTTTTGGAGTTTGAATTTTAATGTTCGCAATTCTGGTACCGAGAGGATTCGAACACGGAATCGGGAGTTAAGTGTTTGTCTGTTTGTGTTTCTTGGGACGCTCGAGTTGAACTCGAAACTTCGAGACCAGTCGGGAGGGAAGAGGAATTTTTCAATCTTTGAATTCGGTAGTATC